CTTCTTCTTCTTCTTCTTTTTTTGTTTTTGTTGTTAATCTTCACCCAAGGATATTTTTTCAACTGATTTTCTTTTAAAGGGAATGGAAAGGAGGGGGAGAGACAGAGAGAGAGAGAAACATTGAGAAAAAGACATATCGACTGATTGCCTCCCTCACGTGCCCCAGTTGGGTACCTGCAACCGAGGTACGTGCCCTTGACCAAATCGAACCTGAGACCCTTCAGTCCACAGGCCGACGCTCTAACCACTAAGCAAAATCAGCCAGGGCATCTCTCATTCTGCCCTCAAATACTTTATGTTCCTGATATACCTTTAAACAAAACTATGAAATGTAATCATTAGCAGTTTTCAGCATTTAAATGGCATAGTATTATATAGCACTACTGGGCTAGAAGAATATGTTGAATGGGTACAGAGTACATTTGAAATCCAGAAAATTGCTATGGGTTTGCCGAACCCATGGGTGTCTGGGAAATGTCAGTCTCAGAGTAGTCAACTCCTATAATAATCACTGCCCGGCTGGCTTTTTTATACCAAGGGCTTAGGTTACTTCTGAAGGCAAAGAGGCAGGCTCAGGCTGACAAAAGCTGTAGATGCTGCAAATTTCTGCTGATGCTAATGGAATAATTTCAGTATATATTATGGTAAGGAGTTTAAGTTATTGTGTCCTCTGTTAATTAAAGGTTAAATTTATTTAAATATAAACTGTATTTTTTTTGTGTGGTTTAGATGCCCTCGTTGCTTAGGTAATGAATTCTAATTTGTTTCAAATAAATTCATCAAAGGAAACTAATTCTAGTATAGATTATTTTCTGATTATTATTATTATTACTAGAGGCTCAGTGCACGAATTCGTGCACAGGTGGGGCCCCTTGGGGTGGCCTGCGGGGATTGGGCCCCAGCTCTTGCACCCAGGCTCGCAGCCCTGCAGCCCCGCCTGGCACCCCGCTATGGCCTGGTGTCGCCCTCTCATCTGCTCCACCATCCTGCCTGCGGGGTGATTGATCGGGGCTGGCTCCCCGCTGCTGCTGGTCACCCTCTGCAGGGCGATCGCAGGGCAGTCGAGCCCCTGCTCGCACCTGTCTTGGCCTGGTGCTGCCTGCTCACCTACTCCACCATCCCGCCACAGTCCTGCTCTTGTCGGGGGCCCATTGGGGCCGGCAGTGCCTCCACTGCCGCCCTCTGCCAGCGCTGCATCGCCAATGCCTGCCATGTTCCGCGCCACCTCCTGGTGGTCAGCACACGTCATAGAGAGTGGTCAAATTCCCGGTCGAACAATTGGCATATTAGCCTTTCATTATATAGGATTATTTTTTGCAATCAATATTTGGCAGTGGAGGTGGCAGTAGGAAACTTGGGTTTTTTGTTGGATGATAACTGTGGTCAGTACCTTTTCTAGCCTCAGTGTACAAATGTGGAGTCTGTACTAGATCATTTCTAAGGAACTTGAAATTCTGGAGTCCATGGTCATGTTATTATTAAATTTATAATTTATAAAGCAGAAACAAATGTAGCCCACTAGAGGGAGCACTGTTCTTTTATAATGTTCTCAATTTTATTGAAAAATAGATCTTTCATATAAGAATGTATAACTCGTAGCTGAACAATTTATATAATAATGATAAAATGAACACCTATTTACCCACAATTTGCATCTTTTCCTCAGAGGTCATCAGTATCTTGATTTCTGTCTTAATCATGCCCTCACTTCTCTTTAGCGTTTTAACACTTAACACTTATATCCATAAACAGTATATTGATTTATTTCTGAAATGTTTTTCTGTTTTGAACTTTATATAAAAGATATTAAAGAGTGTGTGTGCTTTTCAGATTTTTTCTTATATTTCTCATGATTTTTGAACTTTATCCATGTTGATATATTTAATTATAGTTCCTGAGATTTTCTCATTTATATTCTATTTTGTTATATCAATATATCTGTTTTTCTCTTAGTGGTGATTTGGGTTGCTTTCAGTTTTTTTGCTTTATAAACAATGCTCCCACGAACATTTATGAACCTGTTTCCTTTTGCACATGTGGAAGTTTCTTTAGGATACCCAGAATTACCTTGGAGTGGAATTATATTAGAGGATATATCAATATGCATGTTCAACTTTACTAGGTAATGCCAAACTTTCCCATACTGAGTATGCTAATTTTTATTCCAGTAGAAAATATTTGATATTGACTGACTTAAATTTTTGCCAGTCTGGTAAGTGAAATGCTGACTCCTTGTGGTGTTATTTTGATGGCTTAAGTGTTTTATTATTTATTATTTTTTTAAATATATTTTATTGATTTTTTACAGAGAGGAAGAGAGAGGGATAGAGAGTTAGAAACATCGATGAGAGAGAATCAATCAGCTGCCTCCTGAACACCCCCACCTGGGATGTGCCCGCAACGAAGGTGGAATGGAACCTGGGACCCTTCAGTCCGCAGGCCAACACTCTATCCACTGAGCCAAACCAGTTAGGGCTGTTGGCCTTTACTCATTTTTTTTTTTTTTGGTCAAAAATTTAGAATAGGTTCATTTGGCAGTTTGCCCTTTACCCATAAGCCATCAGTTGTGCTAGAAAATTCACTTCAAAAATGGCTTCTTTCTCTGCTTACAAACATGGTGCCTTTGTGCTTTTTGGCCTCTCCTTTTTATATGAGGTTTCATCCTCAGGGCATCTCTACATGGGTTTTGCTTTTTGTGGCAGGATGGTCTTAGGGTAGTTGCTGCCCTTACATTGTTGCTGGAATTATATGCAGTATTGTATGTGAATGTGAGAGTGTATGTGTGTGAGTGTGTATGTATGCCTACATGCTATACTTTGGCTGGAAATAGGACTTTGTTGTGATTGTTGGCATCTAAAAAAAAACATAGGACTGGATTTCTATAAGTCATGCTCTACTTATAAGTTAGGGCCGTGGTCGGCAAACTGCGGCTCGCGAGCCAAATGCGGTTCTTTGGCCCCTTGAGTGTGGCTCTTCCACAAAATACCACGTGCGGGCGCACGTACAGTGCGATTGAAACTTCGTGGCCCATGCGCAGAAGTCGGTTTTCGGCCTGGGCGAGTCTATTTTGAAGAAGTACTGTTGATATTTGGCTCTGTTGACTAATGAGTTTGCCGACCACTGAGCTAGGGTAACTTTTACTGGCTTTAGAGTTCAATTTAATTTGTATTTTGGAATCATTTGGAGATATCTGCCTTGGTAACTTAATACCAAAAATTTAAGCTATCTTTCAGTTTATTTATTTTTAACTTGATTTAATGATTTGCAGACCTCATTTTTTTCTTACTTACTTAAAACTGACCTTTCAAATAAAGTGCAGTTATTGGATGTTGTTTTCAGAGAAGATGAAACTCAGCTTCTCTTGGTCAGTCATCTTTTTCCAAGTCTATTGTGACTGCTTTTGAATTGTTTCTCCATAGTACTCTTTATTTGTGATTCTTCTGATTCATCTCGATAGAAGTTTCCTTGTAAAGTGTAGACATTTAAAAATTATTTATTTCTGCATTTGTCTTAGGAATAAGATCTCTATAATTATTTGAATGATTTTTCCTATGGGTATCATAGACAAAATTTTAAGCCTTTATTTTGGCTTAAATAAGTAAAAAGTCAAACTAAAAAGTTAATTGCCACCTGACTGGAGTGGCTCAGTTGATTGAATGTTGTTCTGTATACCAAAAGGTTGCCGGTTTGATTCCCGGTCAGGGCACATATCAGGATAGTGGGTTTGGTCCCTGGAACAGAAGGCAGCCAATCAATATTTCTCTCTCATATAAATGTATGTGTTTTTTTCCCCCCCTCTCTATCCCTTCCTCTCTCTAAGCATGTCCTCGGGTGAGGATTAAAACAAACAAAAAGTTAATTGCCTACTGACTTCTATGTCACCATCAGGAACTAGAGTTCTTGCATTGGTTCATCAATGCAATGCAATGCAATACAATGCAATGCAGTGTGTTGTTTTCTAACAAGCTAACAGAAAAAGAGCTTTTAAGTAAATTATGTATTAATTACATTTCTGTTGTTCTTTATCAGGTATGGTCTAGACTTGTTTAAAGAGAGTTAGATTGTATTTAGGCTTCTGTGTGTTAGTTCAGGAGTAATGCTGTTGAAACCTATGAGGGATAGGAACAGTGGATTATTGAAAGTCAGAATAATGACATTGCACAGCTTTTACCTCCTTGGAGATGAATTTCTAGACCAAAGCTTCAATCTCAGTGTGAAGTATTGGATATTTTAGGGAAGGAGGATTAATCTTTATTAGAAGTAGTTATAAAAATGAATGTTAGATCCTATGATTTTTGTTATAATATATGCTTCCTTAGCAAGTATTATGCTTTCTTAGCAAGTATTACTGAGGACTTATCTATCAATTTCTATTTGCATGCTTATCATCTATAAATTTTGGCTGGAGTTATGAGGCAGTAAAGATTTTGAGCTAGGTGAAAGGAATGGCTTACTTGGGCATCCCATTAAGAACATATTTAATCATGAAAGTCAAATAGTAAGAGAATAAATTCTATTTATTTAAAAATGTGTCATATGCTTGATTCCTATTTTTCTTCACAAATGTTATTGGATGGGCATGATGAATTTTTTTTTAAATTAGTGTTTATTATTTTAGAGAGGAAACATCAATGTGAGAAACATCAATTGACTGCCTCCCACACACACCCTGACTGTGGATTGAGTGTGCAACTTGAGGATGTGTCCTGACTGGGAATCGATCCTGTGACCTTTTGGTGTGTGGGATGATGTTCAACCAACTGAGCTACACTGGCCAGGGCTGAATGAATATATTTTTTAAAATATATTTTTATTGATTTCAGAGAGGAAGGGAGAGATAGAAACATCAATGATGAGAGAGAATCATTGATTGGCTGCCTCCTGCACACCCCACACTAGGGACCGAGCCCCGCAACCTGGGCATATGCCCTGACCAGGCCTCAAATTGTGACCTCCTGGGTCATAGGTTGTTGCTCAACCATTGAGCCACACCGGCTGGCCTGAATGAATATTTTTAAAAAATCATATTGTTGGGTATAGTTAGCTATGTATAATGATTTGATTAAGTATGAACTCATTTAGTATATGACGTTTGCTTTTATATAAATTCTCAAGGATACAAGAAATGATTATTGTTAAAATATCTGTGTTGTCTTTCACTGACTATAATAATAATAGTTTTCTTCTTGGTTTTTAGATTTCCTCCTTCCTCACCCTTGAAACCATATCCAAAGAGGCCCCCATACCAAAAGGCTGCTATTAAATTTCCAGAATGGAATGACCCCCCACCAGGCATGTTACAAGAGAACATCCCAGTAAGGCCACTTGTGATGGTAAGTGCCATTACTAAAAGACTGATGGCTAGCAGCAGGGAGAATAAGTAGTAGTCTGTGAACCACCAGGCTTAGTCCAGTTCTCTCTGTCAGTTCCTTATGAACTATGGTCTGAAAGTACTTTAAAATAATACCTTATGTGTCAATAGCTGAGAAACCAATAATAAAGAAAGACTAAGTTTTGCATTTTATCACTCTTGCCCATTGAGATTTTGACTGAATATATGGTAGCTGTTTACATATGTTCAGACTAAAAAGTTTTCTGTTAAAACTCCTTTATTCTTTTCCTTTCAGTTCTATAATTTGTTCTTTTCCCTCTTTGTCTCCTCCTCCTGAACTTTATCACCAGTTGAGAGTGAGAAGGTTGGGGTATGGAGTATTGTGGAATGAGCCCTACACAAAATGTGAACAAAGGTAGAATCTGATATGCTGATTATGCAATGCACTTTTTTGGGGACCTACTTTTTCTTTAAAATATCCCCATTAAAGACTACCAAGATTAAAATAATGCTTAAAAAATAAAACGTAGAGACAAATTTTGTATGGCAGTTTTTAAAAATTATAGTAACACCAATGTGTTAAATTAATTTAGTCTGATATGATGTCCAATTCATGCTTTTGTTTGCAAAGATTTGATGTAAACATTTTTCGGCAATGTAATGAAAAGAAAAAAATATCTGAAGAAGTTGTATTATCTCAGTTTGGAGAATATAGTTAAGCAGCTTAGGCTGTATCAAAGATAATTCAAGAAAAAGTGACACTGGTGACAGAAATGGGGACTCTATAGGGCTTACAGATATGTCAGGGACAGTGATGAATTTGGTTTTAAATATGTTTGATGATAAAGTTGGGTTGTATTAAATGAAGTGTCTAATAGGCAGTTGGGTTGTATTAAATGAAGTGTCTAATAGGCAGATGGAGATAATGGTGCTGGAACTTAGGGGAGCGGTCCTATTTGGAAGTCATTAAGTTATTCACTCAACAAAGATTTATCGAGTGTCTACTGTGTGCCTTGCATTGTGCTAGACTCTACAGATAGAGTAATATGTGGTACAGTTTTGTTCTAAAAGGATTCAAAGTCTAGTGAAGCATAACAATACAAACATAGATTAATAGAAAACATAGTGGAACTATTCTGAAAGAGTGAGCACAAAGGGTATTTGAGGACTATTTAATTCCTAATAAGGAACACTTAATTAAGGTCTGCTTGCTAGTCCCTATCCTAGAGAAAATTAAAATATAAGCTCTGTGAGATAAGGTATATTGTTTTTTGCACATTCACATTTAAACATCTAATATGACCCCATCTGTAGAATTGTTATTCAACAAAAGAGATAGAATCCCATATTAAATTAATGTGTGTTTATGTCATCAATAATAACTTTCCTGTTCTGTTCTATTTGGTTCTTCAAAGTCGTAATATTCCTGGTATTACCTCTAGGAAAACCACCTGCTCTTTAGCATACTTTAATGCACCAATGACAGTGACTTCTATCTTCTATTCAGTTTCAAATCTTTCAGGATCCCTGAAGTGGTATACCAGTGTCTCGATTCATCCACCTCCCTGCCCCCAGTGTATCATTTTCCTGGTCATCTGAATCTACATTTGTTTTGATAACTGTTGTCTTGCCTTTTCTCATACTTCCCCCTTAAATGGAGTGGTAGAAGTTTGAAAGCTCCCTGCTTATTAGAATTCCACTAAAGCCTAGACTGCTACTTCTTGAGAATTGTCCGAAGAGGGAGTGGCAGAGCAGGATCTGTTTCCCTGATTATAGGTGTTAGAATGATGGTGTTAATAATAGATCTTGAAGAACTTGAGCTTACTATTCATTTTTTATTTCTTACTTTCTCCACTTTGCTTGTTGGTTTTTGTTTTGTACTATCTTCTCTCTTGCCTAGCCATTATCCTATGTAATAAAGCGGTAGTATGCAAATTAACCCTCACGCCCTCACAAGATGGCTGCCTACGACCGGGCCACCAGGGGGGTTAGTGAGGGACAACCAAATGACTGAACAAGCAGGCTGCATGGGGCAACCAGGCCGGCAGGGGGGTTAGTGAGGGATGACCAAAAGACTGAACAGCAGGTTGTGTGGGATGACCAGGCCGGCAAGGGGGTCTGTGAGGGGCGACCAAACGACTGAACAGCAGGCTGCGTGGGGCGACCAGGCTGGCAAGGGGAGGCCATGACGGGCGACCAGGCTGGTAGTGGGGGCAGTTGGGAGTGACCAGGCCAGTAGGAGGGACAGTTGGGGGCGACTAGGCTGGCGGGGGGGCAGTTAGGGGCGACCAGGCCAGCAGGGGGGGGCAGTAAGGGGTGACCAGGCCAGCTGGGGTGGCAGTTAGAAGCAACCAGGCTGGCATGGAGGGGGCAGTTGGGGGCGACCTGGCTGGCAGCTAGAGGTAGTTAGGGCCGATCAGGCCAGCACGCAGAGGCAATGAGGGGCTATCAGGTTGGCAGGCAGGTGAGCGATTAGGAGCCAGCGGTCCAGGATTGTGAGAGGGACATCCCCCGAGGGGTCCCAGATTGGAGAGGGTGCAGGCTGGGCTGAGGGAACCCCTCTCCTCCCGTGAACAAATTTTGTGCACTGGGCCTCTAGTATCAAATAATACAAAATACATAAATTTATTTTTTGTGTTTGCTGAGGGTGGCAGTATAATGTGGAAAGTAAGAGTGTGGGCTCTTGAATCTTGGCTCCTCCATTTTCTACCTATTTGAGCTCGTGTCTATTTCATTCATTGTGTTTCTGTCTGTGTTCTTTTGGGTGGAACTGGGATGATAATACCCCTCTGGGGTAGGATTGTTTCGAGAATCAAGTGAGTTCACACAGGTACTCAGTAATGTATTTAAAAGAATTGTTTACAGGCAGTGACAAAAGAAAAAATACCCATAATATCATCCAGATATTTATTAATTAATCATTTTTGTTGTGTATTAGTTTTCCTCCTTGCCTACTCCAGCTGTTCTCTGTGGAGGTTTATTTTACCTGCTTTTGCACATGCCTATGGTCTGGGGGCTGCTATTCAACATTGTACTTATTTGTTCTTTGTTTACAAAAATGAGAGAACTCTTGAATATCATATAATTTTTATTTTAAATAATCCTTCAATTTGGACAGTGTATGAACTTGGATAGGTATTCTACTTAATTTAGAAATAATAAAATTTTATTTCATTGCTACTTCTCGTGATTATTTGGAACTCCCACAGGAAATGTCATGCTTATCATCAATAGTTCTTTTGTAATTCCTGAATATTAATTTATAATATGACCTGATCTTTAGTAGCCAAACTATATTTCTCTGCACTGCATGCAAAGAAAGTTACTTTATTTCTTTTTATTTAAATCAAATTACAAATAACAAAATTAAATAATTTCTTATAAAACAATACCACTGTCAATTGAAATATTCTTTCTTTCTACTCCCCTCCCTGCTATCAGAATTCTGAGATGTGGTACAAGCGTCACAGTATTGCTATTGGAGAGGTGCCGGCTTGCCGCCTTGTCTACCGCAGACAGCTGACAGAGGCCAATGTAGAAGAGATATGGAAGTCTATGACATTATCACAGTATGTGCATTTGATATTAATGAGACTTTTTAGTGTTTTTTTTCTAATTTCTTCATTATTCTTTGCATATTTTTCTGAAATTACGTATAAAAATGTCAACTTTGCATTATTTGCAGCTGTGCTACTTATCAAACATAATTTAACTGGATTCTGGTTTATTTTCTATGTAATTTATATAATAGTTAAGAGTAGAAATTTGAAAGTTCTTTAACTTTCTAGTAATACTGAATTCTTAATGAAATACAATGAGAAATATGGTCTTTTAAATATTTTATGTACTATGTAATTAAAGTGAATAGCAGGTTTTTTTCTCACAAAGATGTACTAGTAGCTGTTTCTCATCATTGGATAAGCTAATTCTTGTTTTTATAATATCTTATGAAATTTTCTTGGCATTTAAGGTGTTACGTCATTAAATTACTAAAGCAATATGTTAATGGCAAAAGGATATTTTTCAGTGTGTTCTATCATAATCATTTTCTAGCCTTTTGCCCCACAAGAATTGGGTGAAATGCAAGAAAACAACACAGTACAGTTTAAAGACTGATATTTTACAGTGCTAGGATTTGGGGTAAATAATGACTTTAAAAAAATTAAACTAAATAATGTAATTATTATCTTTCTTTTTAGTTTACAGAAAATACTTGGCCTAGACTCCTTAGAAGAAGTTTTAGACATTAAACTTGTCAAGTCCAAGTTCATCATACATAATGTATATAGTGTGAGCAAGCAGGGAGTTGTTATCCTTGATGACAAATCAAGTAAGTGCATAGAAACCATTTTGTTTCTGGTTGATCCATATGTTGGCTGCTTGATCTATCACCTTCTATTTGACGCTTCTCTAAATCCTAAATAAATTTATACTCCCTCATCTCACATCCTGATACCTTTTAACTAATTGTTTGGGTTAAAGAAATTTCATAGAATGATGAATACTCAGGGGTGAAAACGTCAGCAAAATCCATCCAGAGGCCAGTTCAATTAGCCACAATGGGCATTAAAAGGTTCTGTATTATCCTCAGAAAGTCCCTAAAAAGTGAGTAGGTTTAAGACCTACCTTAGAGCTTGAGTCAGTTTTGAGGGGGATCCTGGGGTCTGATTGATTTTAGGTTCTCATTAACCTTTTTGTTATGATATTTCCATGTCAGTGTTTCTGGGATACTTTTGGTTTATGTCCTTTTTTTTCTTTCTATAAATGTAGCTTTTTAGATGTTGAAGGTGTTACTATTTTTTATACTTTTTTTTTCTCAAGCCAGTTTACAAATCAGGAAAAAAACAAACATTTAGCAGCTATCCTGTTTTGTTTTAAATATATTTTTACTGATTTCAGAGAGGAATGGAGAGGGATAGAGAGATAGAAACATCAACGATGAGAGAGAATCATTGATCGGCTGCCTCCTGGATGACCCCTACTGGGGATGGAGCCTGCATATGCCTTTGACAAGAATTGAACTTGGGGCCCTTCAGTCCGCAGGCTGATGCTCTATTCACTGAGGCAAACTGGGTAGGGCCCTGATTTTTGAAAAATACTCTCAGAGTACATGTAGTGGACCAGAATCTCCAAACTGATTTTACAACTTCCTTCCCCTGGATAAGGGATGGGCTAGAATTGAACAGTCTCTTTGATTGGGTCTTCCTTTACTTCAAACACTTAATCCTGGGATTTAACTGGAACTAGAATGACCTTTGGATGTGGGAAGGTGGTACAGTACTTTTGGGTTTGATTAGAGTTTAGGCTGGAGGCTCCTGGCAGCAGACAGAGCTGTACCAGAAGGAGACCGAGCAGTGGTGAGAGGGAAGAGGTTGCTCAAGGCCAAGTTTCCTGACAGGAACAGAATGTGTCTTTGAAACTTGAAATACTTCCCCTTTTTAGCCCCTGTATCAGGAATGAAGGACATCAGGAAACAGAAATACATTTGTGAATTCATGAGTTGTCTGGTTAATACCAACATGTAAAATTAATTTACATAGAATGAGGGGGGTGTTGCCTTTGAAGTAGATCTAAAATACTTTCACATTCCTGAGTATAGCAAACATTAATACTTTTAGCTACCAGTTGGATGACCAGTCATTTTTTTTTTTTGTCTTATTAAGTAAGTTCTTTAGCAAGGAGGACAATCACAAGTCTCAGGTTCATTAGGTCTAACAATTCAACCAGTGTCTTTTCAATTTTACCGAAAGTAGAAAAGAGGAAGAAGTGGAAGCGTGAGTGCCAGCCCATCTCATCAGATGCCTGTGACAGGGCCAGGAAGGAGGAAAACACTCTATCAAATGGCTCACCTAGGATTTTTTGTAGCAGTGTTAACCATTATTATTTTAAGGCTGTTCTAATATGAATAGCCTACACTAATATGTCAGTAGAACTTGGTTTGCTTAAAACATTGTGAAAATTGAAACATGTAAAGTGATACCTATATATTAGACATTGGACATTCAGAATTCACCTTTTTTTTTATTTTTAATTTTTTGGTGAACTGGTTTCACAAATGCATTTCGTGACTAATCTTTTTGCTTTTCCTCTTTTCTTCATTGCCGGATATAATTCTTAGGGTAATTGATTTGTTTGTTAGTTTGTTTCCCTGGAACAAATGATCAAATTTCTTCTTGTCACTAAAGCTTTAAAAAGTTCATCTTGTCCTTAGAGAATTTTGCAGGCACGATTTATACAAGCAATTGTACCACTGCTGCTAAGGAAAAATTTTCATCGTTTAAAGTTCTACATCATAAATAGGTGATTTTGATTAGCAGATATATTTTATGCTACTTAGGCAAGTACTACATTCTTATGATACCAATTATGTATGTAATTTCTAGACTTATATGCAATTGAATAAAATATCTTTTTATTTTTCTGCAGAAGAACTTCCTCATTGGGTACTGTCAGCAATGAAGTGTTTGGCAAATTGTAAGTACTTATTGTCTGCCAATTTTATGAAATTAACAGAAATTAGCGCCCTGAATTAGAATATATTTTTGCTCAATGGCCTGAACCTGTGTGACTGGCAGTTAATCATTTTGAGATTACTATACTTTTACTGATAAATGTGTGACTTGGTGAAAGGGCTGATTATAGAATGAGTTTAAAGGAATTTGTGCTTTCATTTTCTGTTGTCTGATTTTTATTCCTAAAACATGTGTTCCTAAGTATGTCCTGTATTTACATTATCAGTTTGCTTAGCAGATCCTGTCTACTATTGGCTTTTTACAAGGCAGTAGTTTAAGTGGGAGAGAAATGTTTTAGAAGACTAATCTGATTGGTATGCAAGATAGTTTGGAAGGAGAAGAATGCAGAGAAGCAAGAAAGACTTTCAGTAATTTGGATGTATGATGAAGGCACCTGTATCAGGGTGGTCCCTTTGAGGTTTTTCATAGGCATACAAAATCCATTTCATAGGCAGTTGATACCTACTTTATTCAATTATCCTAAGAATTATATCACTTTATCAGATTATATCACTTTGGATATCACAGGCACTGTGAAACAACAAATAATTGTAGTATCTCATTTAACATTACTGTTTTGGGGGGATTTTCAGAAGGCTTGACCCAAAGAAGGGATTTTAATGGTTAATGGCTTAACTCAAACCAATGGTTTTAACAAGAAGAATTCTAGTTATTTGGCTGACGGATAGCGGTGATATTCTCTGGGTCTTTTGAAGCATCACAGATCACTGCAGAGAGGTAGTTTCTTTCTTCCCTTTTGGGTGAGACTAGTATGAGCAGAGATAGGTGTATAAATTCTTGAATTAGTAGACTCTGTATTACTTAACTGAAGTTTGTTTTGTTTGATTATAGAATGAAATTAAAATAACTATTCAGATGATAGTGGGTGATCTCAGTGTTGATATATAAAAAATGATTATATATTATCATTCTGAGTGTGAATAGCAACATTAGTTTATGTGAAGCCCAAAGATTTCCATGTATAATTAACTATTAAAAATATTGGCCAGTTTTGGTTAATATTTTGGAACCTCTGAGATGTAGAGTTCTATGGTTTTACCTTGGGAGAGTGATTTTTATTCTTGCTCAATCATTTGAAATCACTTAAGTTTAAATTATATATTTGGCCAGAGTTGGCAGTGACAAGATAGAAGGTGTAAATGGGAGGTTAAATGGCCCATTTCTGAATTCCTGGCAAACTTAGGACTTGGAGGTTGAGGAAGCCAGAATAACAAATCTAGACTATAATATGTTGTAAAGTGTATATTAAGGTGTGGCTATAATGTTGAATTTTCAGTGATGATCAAAACTTAATGAAGAGTATAGTTTTCCCTCAAGGAAGATGTATACATAAAGCCACCAAACTTCTGCAGAAAAGGTTAGAATAACTGGAATTGCTCATCAATGGAGAGGAAAGATGTGAGGAGCGACTTAGTAATGTTCTCCATGTGTGTCAGGTGGTGTAATATTAGGTGGAAATTCTTGGGACAGGAACATGTCTCATATGTAGCAAGTGCAGTGGATGGTTGGCATATTCATAAAGATGCTTGTTTATGTGTCAAAGAAAACAAGGTGGTCAAAGAGCAAAGTCAGCCTTTTGGTTAGTTTTATAAAATAACTAGAAGCCCGTTGCACGAAGATTCACGCAACAGACCTTCCTTTCCCTGACTGCCGGCACTGGTTTTCCTCCGGCACCTGGGACCCAGGCCTTTGGTCCGGCCGCAGCGGAGAAGTCAAGCCTCTTCAGTCTTCAGTCTTCACTCCGGCGGGAGCCTTCAGTCTTCGCTCTGCGCCTGCATGTGCAAGTTAACCGCCATCTTTGTTGGGTTAATTTGCATAGTGGCTCTGATTGGCTGGTGGGTGTAGTGGAGTGACACCAATTTGCATGTTTCTCTTTTATTAGTATAGATTAATTTTTCCAAATTCTCATTGGTCTCCAACATTTATTTTGAATCTGTTAAAGTTATGAACTATCTCTTACGCTTTTTATTTTTAATGAGTCCAGATTCCCTTTGTGGTCATCTAATAGGGAGCAGAAAAGATAGACTGATTATATAATACTTTGAAGGCCTAGGGCCTTCTTTGCTATAAATCTGCTGCTCCCTTCTTCAAGCCTGTTTGCATTTAGTGTAGACCATGCACACATAGGCCTGGGTACTTTCATTGTTGGCTAGCCTTGTGGTTGACCACAGAATGAAGAACTAATGCCAGATAAATACAAAATCAGGTTAATTGTGATTTTTTTCTTCTTTGTGCGTGTAGATTGCAAGCATTCAATCAGAAATAGATACAAACAGCTCTTCCAAAATCTGTCAGGAATAACATTTATAAAAAACTAGTTTTTAAAAATATTCTGAAGCTCAAGATAATTAAGAAATGAAAGATCTTAGAAATATGGCCTCTTCTCATAGAGCTCAATATGCAGTAGTATTTTTAGGAACCCCCTTTTTTTTGCATATTTTTAACAAGAATGATGGAATGTTCACAAAAGGGTACAACTGTTTAGAATGAACTGCATATTTATCCTGGGAGGGAGTAAGTCAAGGCAATGTGTTTGCTTGCTGAGACATATCAAACTAACGATAGCATTTCACTTGCCTTAGACTGTAATATTTTAGAGGAGGAAACAAGCAAAAAATGGTGGTTGTTTGCTGCTAGGTTAATGTGGTACCACACATAAAAATCTTTCAAAATTTTTATTATTTTAGCCAAATTATTTTAGAAGTGTACAGAATATTAAGAGGTAAGAAGCATTTTTTAGAGAGACCAACAAAAAGCCATATTCACTATGTTCAATTTCCTTGAAATGTGAAGGCCCAGAATGCTTGTCTTTTTCAGTTTGATCCTTTCTAGTCATAGCAGTTCTGTAGTTAGAATTTCCTTTCAGTTTTTATTGGCTTCATCTTTCATTCTCCTGAGGGAAGAGATCTCTTTGTGTACAGTTGTTGAGTCTTGTGTTCTGCTGGCCCGGAACTGGCCAGTGCAATTAAACTTCTTTCTTCCATGTGGTGATGGAAATAGAGAAGGCTGGCCAAACTGTTCCTCATGGGATTGCTTGCCATTTCCCTGAAGACATGGGCAGCTCTAGTTTATCTCTCCACTTAACAGTGTAAATCTGTGGTCTCTGTAGGTATTGTTCGGGGCATTTGCTGCCAACTCTGAAGAGAGCTAAGCATTTCTTGTTCCTCTTTGGTCCCAAATACAAATGGATCTTTGCCTTGTTGCTGGCATAGGGTAGAGCTAGAACGAGGTTGTTCCAGGCTTCTTATAGTTACTCCAACTTTGCAATATCTGCTTGATAAACTATCTTTTGATGGTTGGTTGGGGATTGAGTAGAGAGTTTTATAATCAGAATGAAAGACATAATGTAAAATCCCCTTTTCAAAATATCTATAAGAAAGAATGTATAAATTCTTAATCAGTCTGAAATAATTTAGAGACAGAACTTGATAATTTCACTCAACTCTGACTCTAGAATATTATAATTTAGCAATGATAAAATAATGAAAAGCTTTAAGATTGTTTTGTAATTTATCTATTACACGTGTGAGCTAATTGTTATCATGAGCTAATTGTTATGGTTAACTGTCAAGACTAGGAAAATATTGAATATTTCAAAGAATATTATTATTGTTTTCATTTAATAAAAATGCCTTTCAGAAGGACATAAAAGAAAGAGTGGGTTTCTTTTAAAATGGAAGTAAGCCAGTGATTTTTCTCATTGTGTTGTAATAGATTTCAATGTAGACATAAATCATATTTGTGTAAGCAAAATGTATAATGTCAATTTATTTGATGTAAGTTTTCCCCATGAAAACTTTTCTGTCATATTTGTGTAAGCAAAATGTATAATGTCAGTTTATTTGATGTAAGTTTTCCCCATGAAAACTTTTCTGTCATATTTGTGTAAGCAAAATGTATAATGTCAATTTATTTTATGTAAGTTTTCCCCATGAAAACTTTTCTGATCTTGAATATCTGTACAGAACACACATATGCACAGAGGTTAGTACTTAATGGGTGCCCTGTTAATGTTTCTCTTTCTATCTCATTCTCTTTTTTCAATAGGGCCTAATTGTTCAGATTTGGAGCAGCCTATGTACTTAGGATTTGAGAAAGATGTCTTTAAGACCATAGCAGACTACTATGGTCACTTGAAAGAGCCTCTGCTTACATTTCATCTTTTTGATGCCTTTGTCAGTGTTTTAGGTAAGTTGGAATATAATGAGCATTTATCTGCATTGAATATTGAATCATTTCATTTTCATTATCATGAGACCCCATTAGCCAAACTTCCATAGTGTTTTTGAAATAAAAACTAAAAGGTACTTGCCTAGTTGGTGTCCTGCCCTTAAAGGGGGAAATGAAAATGGTTAAGCTCTATTATGAAACTCAAAGCAAGGACTACTAATTATTTCTTAAGAAAGAATAATATGTTGTATATCATTTTTGTACAAAAAGGTATGAGTTAGTTGAGAGAGAAGAATGTAAATTTGACATTTATTGTTCATGAGTAAATCTGCTACTTTGGTTGTGATGTCATAAATAGGTTTGAAAGGTGTATTTTCATTTAGAAATTTAATTTTTATGGAAGGAACAGATTTTTATAGAGCTATTTGTTATTTGTGACATGCAAAATATAGTAACTTGATCATTTGTAAAACTTGTTGCTATTCCTTACGTAGATTTGTTCTTCAGAATTTACACTGTCAAGAAAACATGGTGAGCCCTAGCCGGTTTGGCTCAGTGGATAGATCATCGGCCTGTGGACTGAAGCGTCCCAGTTTAATTCTGGTCAAGGGCACAGGCCAGGGTTGCAGGCTTGATCCCTAGTAGGGGGCGTGCAGAAGGCAGCCAATCAGTGATTCTTTCTCATCATTGATGTCTCTATCTCTCTCTCCCTCTATCTTCTTCTCTGAAATCAATAAAAATATATTAAAAAAATAAAAAGAAAACACGTTGAAAAGGAAAAAAAAATCAACATTTGCTGTGGGTCTTTCTGAAACTGTTTCTTTTTCTAGGAAACCAGATTTTCCTCTTGCTGTTATGATTGTTCAAAAATACTACTGTTTTCTTGTCGAAAGGTTTGCTTTAATAACCAGACCATTGTGTGGGTATCATCCTCTATTGTGTAAATTTTTACAAATTAGAATACTCTTGCATTTGAGTATTGTGGGGTTAGCAATCTTCCCATTTTCTTTTCTCCCCTTTCTCCTCCTTTTAGTCTTACTTCCTTCTTGGAAAGTATGGATGTAGCCATAGCATCCTAGAAAAATAAAGTATTAACAATATGTGAATAATTTACCTGATCTCATAGCACAGTACTTTAAATTGTAAGATTTTGTAGGTTTCCTGATAATAAACAAAAACAACAATTATAAATCATGTACATAAGGGTGAATCTGTTTTCAGAGAGACATTATTGATTTCAGAGTGGAAGGGAGACTGAGAGAGATATAGTAGAAACATCAATGATGAGAGAATTATTGATTGGCTGCCTTCTGCATACCCCACACTGGGGTGGGGGAATCAAGCCTCAACCCGGGCATATGCCCTGACCAGGAATATACCATGACCTCCTGGTTCATAAGTCAACGCTCAACCATTGGGCCCCACTAGCAGGGCTGATGCAGTCCTTCTTAAGTGAATATGTTTGAGACACCCTGCATTAAAAACCACATCCTTATGTAGTAAAAGAAGAAAGTCTTCTAGATTATGATAGGCTATAATTTGTTTATATGATTAACAAAGATTATTTAATA